TTTCTTCGGTTCGATGAATTTTTTGCTCGGGGTAATTTTGTCCGCGATGTATTTCCCTGCCACTAAAGTGTCATCAGCGACCGCGATGCGTAGTAAAATTGCCTTCGCGTATCGCATAGTAATCGCACACAATTGTAAATTGACTCCCCTCGGACGATGCTTATCGATTGAAATTATTTATGTACTCTTTTGTATGAACTCCTCGGACGCGAAGACCCAATCCTGCCCTATCCGTGCCCCACGTCGAACCTATAGATCCATTGATCGAATCAGGGTAACCGAGTCCCTGATCGAATCGGGGACGTTTGATTGACTTTCGGTGACCTACTCGTGACTGCCCATCGGCGACTATTCGCTTGTGACAAGCGATCGTTCCCCGATAGGGCCTTCGGAAGCCTGCCGGGACTAGACCATGGGCTATACACCATGACAGGGAAGAAACGATACGATATTTACCCTAGATACGGTTCCGAGCACGATAGGTGTCCCCGATTACGTGACTCTTTGCAGTTATCGACGCAACGCCCCCCCTAATTGGCACGGAATTATTATTTTCGTATTACGATACACAGGTCGGCGGAACGATTTTCTGTGGTTCGACAGAGAATCTCTCCCACGAACTCGGGCAAGAAAGATCTAAAGTTAAATCCCAACCCTGGGGGAGATACTTTCGGTGGAGCTCTGGGGAGGAATGGAGAATCTGGCCAGTCCTCGGCACTCCGTTGACCTTTGTCTATTAATAAAGCCGCTGCGGGAAGAAAGTGGCACGGTGCACTGCGGATCCTTTCGGCCCCGGATACAGAGACGTCGACAACTCGGTCCAGTCGTACTCGGCAAGGTACGATACGGGTCAAAATCCCGGTTCACTCGTGGAGTGTCCCAAAGAAAATAGAAAAGAAGAAAAAGGAAAAAACTTGTTCGATTGGACGGAATTCTCAAAATGGGCATACGCGTATATCGCTTCGTTCGCGTCGTCGTATCACCTTAACAACTAATTCTTGTCGCGATTACGGCGATTGATGCATCTCGTTGCCGGCTCGTCTTTTCGTTCGGCGCGTCGAGTCGTCCCGGTACTTCCGGGCGTGCAGGGGAGAAGAGCAGCCCTGTCTCTCGACTCGTCAAAAACTAATTGATTCCGGTCTCTCGGGGTCCCGAGATTCTAATTAACCCCGGGGATAATGAAGAAAGTTTCGCGACGGTCGCGGTTGCGTCGCGAGAGGAGACGCGACGCTACTCCTCGACGTCCCTCGGGCGATCGGGGGCAAAAAGCGGCGGCTCCTTTTTTTCTCGGCGGGAAACTTTAATCCACCCTCGAAACGTAAAGATCTCGGCCAAATCGCGACCAGCATCCGAGGGCGAAATTCCGCGCTCGTATCGGAGACGGATTTCCGATTTTTGCGCACAGGAACGTTCGACGAGAGGAAATGGACCCACTTCGAATTTCGTCAAATATTTATTCCGACGGGATCTCGTTATGCCCGAGGACGTCGATCGACCCGAGACCACCCCTAACCTCTGCCCCCCTATTTCAGGATATTTCCGTTACAACAAAATAGCGTAATATAAAGAACGAGGGAAAAACCGCAACCGGAACCCCACGGGCAGAAATTCGAATGCGCTCTTTTTTCCGCGAGGAGGGAAACTCGACGAGCCTCGGGAAGGCCGGGAAAACCTTGGGAAATCGCGGAGCCCGAGGGAAAATGGGTCGCTCGTTGAAGTTAGGCAATCGAGAGCGTCGACTGCCTCGAAGATCTTCCCTTGGCCGAGGTTCCGGATCTAGAACCCGATTCTCGAGATCATACGATCAACGTTTGCATTCAAATTGACAGTTTCGTCCACGGCTGTAAAATGTTCACCAATGACGCGACTTTGCAACGATACATCTTTCGTATGAACGCCGCGTACTCGGATGTATACGGGGTAACGAACGAAATAGTTCGATGCAATGAACGGACATCTCGACGGCCAGCGTCGAATGGCGGGTCGAACTATGCGAGGCAGTTTACCGCATTTCGATTGATCGCTCGCCTTGCCTCGTACGCGTTCGTGCTCGGATGGGTACCCGGCCAAAAACACCCGGATGATCTTGAGAATCGGGTCCCTAGGGGGCGAGAAAACTGAATTGCGGGGCTCGTGGGTACGCACGGCCCTTTTCCCGTTTCCGTTCCATCCCGTTCCGGCCGAAGAAGGCGAACCCCGCGGCCGGCACTGGGATCGAGCCGAATCAAGAGGATAAATCCGGCCCAAAAAAGCTCCGACCCTCGGCCTCTGGAATCCAACGAGTCGGTAATTCCTTTCGACGCCGCGCTCTCTAGAGTGCGGCCCCGAGGGCGGAACGGCTCGAAATAGCTGAATATCGCGGCCTGCCACCTAATTAACCTAATTTCTCCCTTCCTTTCCTCGCCGCGACTCGTCCCTCGACCTCCGTATCCGCATCCGCATCCGCATCCACATTCGCGACGAGGAACACCTTCCGCCCCCAAATTCCACCGGCTGATCGACTTCGTTATCGCCTTCAGCCATTTCTGGGACTATCGCGATCGCGATCGCCCTCTGAACCGTGCTCGTCCTGGAATGGACGTGGCCGGATGTTCCAACGTTTTAGAAATCGCAACGAGAGACAGTTCCAAAGGGTATTATGAATTTGGGGAGGACTACTCGCAAACGAGAGGGTTTTCCAGTTGGGCGATTCGCAAACGAAACTCGCCCACATCGGTAAAAAATGGACACAAGCAGTTTGGAACCATTAAACGTTTTCGTTCCGCCACTGAAGAGACCAGGTCGAGGAGAAGGACAATGGGGAGATGCGCCCGCTCCGCTTTTGACCCGGGCAGAAGCACCCGTTGACTCCGGCTTGCCGGAGCTCAAATTGACATAACGGACAATAGGCGAATAGCTCGGCACCTAATTAACCCAATTTCGGTTTTTTCTTCTGCCGTCGACGGTGCCATCTTGCCCGGGGGAGCGGGAAGAGTCGAGAGTTCGCGGTTCCCATCTTCCGTCCGATGGAACTCTTACATTCGGTCGTGGTGGGTCTTCGGTAACGTCGGAGCCCTCCGCGGATGCCCCAGCCCCTTCCTTTGCCAGACGCTCTCTCGTGTGGAATTAACGGGTTAACAACGCGTTAGCATGTGGCATGTGGAAACGTCCGGTGTGTACATCCCGCTGTGTACCCCGGGTCCACCGGAGTTGAGGTAATCCTTGCTTATCGACGGCGTCGGCCCCGAGAGGAATCGTCTCCGCATAAGCCGAATCGGGAAAATCGGAGCAAACGCGGTCCGACTCTGCCCGTGAGGGTCCTGCGGGAATGGCCTCTCGACTCCGACGTCGAGTCGCTGCCGTTTCCACCTCTCGAATGTGTAGCCGCGGACCGTTCGAAATGCCGGCACGACGAGAAATGCGGTGTACCGGACTAATTTGATCAATGATTGCATCCAGGAATTCAGATTTATGAATTCTCGGATCAACTAAATAGCAACAAAATCTCCCGTGTTTGTATTTTTAGTTCAAGTTTAGTTATTGTCGATGCGAAACGATATCCCCCGAAATTTCTAAGGTCACCGAATACGTCTAATCCGATGATATCTAATTGCATGAAATTTGCATTAACCCCGAACCGTTCCCCAGACCGCCAAAGTATTGGATTAGACATCTCGTTATTATTTAAAGGTCCCCGATCGATCGATTTCTATTCTAAACGGCTATCTGCTAAATTATTCTGCTAATTTAGAGGTCGAATCAGGTTATAGAGTCGATCGTTTCGGAACGTTGTCTAGGTTTCACGAGGATACCGAACAGCGACGTCCGTGAGTCGGTGACTCGATGTTGTTTTATCATTCGGATATCTCTGGCGATTAATTATTGACGCACACTTCCGAAGTATAAATGTCCCATCTGATTCCTCGACGGTCCCCGGGGCTCATCAAAGTTTTACGTCCTTTTATCGGCAAATTGCATGCACAACGGATACGACTTTTTACGCTTTTCTCTATTTCCCCTCTCGATCCGGCCGCGGTTTCGTGAGTCACTCGACACGCGAAGGAGAAGTTAATTTTCTAAAAGCAATAGGGGATGCTCGCGCAAACTCGTACCCTTTGCGGTATCGACGGACGGTCACCGAAAATAGCCACCTAAAGACACCCCGTACGTACTCTCTGCGTTCTCGGCCGAGGGCAGTCAAATTCATTCCGGCAAAGCCGCGACGCCCTTTATTGCCGCGACGTTTTATAGCGCTTCGTCTCTTTATTACAACTCGGTTTTACAGCGTTTCATCGAGACCTTCCAGCGAACGAAATATTTACGAGATCCATAAATATTGCGCACGCTCGCTCGCGGCCCTTAATCTTCGATACCTTCAACGAAGTTCACGCGGATGGAAAGGTTCCATAAAACAAACGCGCTCGACGTTCCTCCGTTTCTTCCGTCCGAAGTCCGCATTTTCCAAGTACGGCGGCCCATTTGCCCGACAATGGCAAATATGGTCACCGACTATTTTCCTCCCAACAAAGTTTTGTCAAGTGTTAGGAGAATGCCAAAGTCAATCGAAGGGGTCGTATCGATTCGAATGCCATTTAGGTAACGAAACCAAAGAGACGAGAATTTCTTCGGTTCAATGACATTTTTTTCTCACGGTGGAAAAAATCTTCCCCCGCCTTTGAAAACTCGAAAATCGTGTTTCGTCCGGCAATAATAGGAAAAGCTCGGCATTCTCTTAACTCTACCATCTAATGAATTCCACATCCCTGTGGAGAGTAAACCCGGAGCCGTTCTTTCAAACCTTCTCGACCGAAAAGAGGGAGATTCGAGATGCGCTGAAAAGTTCTCCGGGAGCCCGAGGTCGAGATAATCGATTTAGTTGGTCTCGGCAAGTTGGACATCACGAGCATTCCTCGTAAAAGTTGATGGGTCTCTCTCCTGCAGGATTTCGGCGAGGGTCGCGAGTCTCTCAGGGCCAAAGTGGCCCGGTCGAGAGAGACGCGTACATACATCGAACCACTTACCATAGCAGCGAGCCGTTCGGTGGGTCGAGTGGCCGCCGAGGGGCGAACGGAAGGGCGAACGGAAGGGCGACGCTAGCGGAGCAACTTCGGTGGTTTTCGCAGGGGGCTGCGCCACTCCGACTGGCGCATGTTTCTTGGGATTCCGCCACGAGGACTGGACTACGCTTTGGTTTGCGCCTTTACGGATGCCGAGGGCCGCGTTGAACTCGATTCACCCCTGTCCATCCCCTGGCCGAGGTATATCGAAAATGGCCCGACTCGAGCCGTTGTCAGTCCGCGTCTCTAAAAGTAAACGTAAGTAACTATAAGATGTCTTATAGTCTATTTGTTTAATACGCGGATCTTATAGGAGACTTTGGCTTATCGAGAGCTCGGTAAAGTCCTTAATCGTTTTATTGTCGTTACCAGGAACAAAGAGACTATTGAATAAGCGTTAAGTGCATTTTACTAAGTCGACGCGGGTATACTTTGGCACGTACTCGTTATTGCGAGCTTCTTAGCACCGTCGTCAAATACGTCGCAGGCGTTCGTTACACGTGCCTCGTCTCTCTTCGGGTTTCCGTGAGGCCCCGTTCGCGGTTATATATACGCGAGACAGCCAGACGAGACTTCTACTCGTGAAAATCTCGAGTCGCGACTTCTCTCGAGTCTAATCAAAACGGAGTAGACGTCGCGAGGGATTACTTATGGAATGCGTCCCTTAAGGACCACCGCGTCGCTCCGCGAGTCGAAATACACTAAGACGAAGTCTAATAGGGAGACCGGTATTTGAGGAATTTCCCCCCGCAAGGGGGGGCCTCCTGCTCGGACGACAAAGGAAAGCACGTTCCAGAAACCACGCCGCGGAGGTCGTGGAAATATTTACGAAGCTAAATATTTTGAACGATAGGACAAAGGACATTTTCACAAGAGCTACTGGTTACGATGCTAAATGATTCCTAAATTTCAATTTCAAGGTATCCAAATCGGTCGCAGACAATGACTATCGATCGAAGAGGTTAAGAGATTAAAATACGCCGGTGAAACTGGCCCGATCGCTTTCCAAGCTGGAACTTTTCAATATTTCATAATTTTGTGCCAATTAGCCGCTACTTTGGCTTTCACTTACAAAAGCGGTAAGAGAGGTTTTTTTGGCGGTTGTGCCAATTTCCCGCAAGGATAGCACATAACGTGACAAAGAAAACCAAACACTGCATTGTGGAACAAACAAAAGGTACCGTAACTAGGTGCTAATTAAGCGTTCCCGACATGTAATAAAAATATTTTCATCGTAGCGCAAATCTGATTCGTTATTTATCATGCACCGTGCTCTGTAACGTCCAACGCCCTCTGTCGAACCACGCTTCGGATCGATTTCGATTCTGTAACCTTTTTTTGATGGAGTTTTTCCCGCACGGACGTTGGCAAGATGTCATACAATTACGTAACTCTCGGTCTTGACGTTAAGTTAACGCCAATTTTAATTCCAAGTGAGGGTACCTTACCTGCCACCGTTTCTTGATACCCGAATGAGATGAGAAAGCGACTGCAGCTACGCGGCGTTCCACTGATTATTTCCATGAACGAAGGAACACTCGTTATCAACGTGCTATAACGAAGACACTCTACGTTATTCGCTGCCGCTTGAAGATGGCGCTAGAGTTTTCATTCTTCTTCGCGGTACTCTGTCGGTAAGGATGGAAGGCCAAAACGAACAGGAGCTCGCAGCTGATAACGTGGAATGGTTAAATGATATTTTAAACATTACCTTTTGCCAACGGTAAGTCCTCGAAGCTTTGTATCGATGAATTGATCTTGAAAATTTTTAAAACAAAAATCTTCCATGCATTAATGTTCGTATTTCAGTACGGAAGATATTTTAAATATGTCGTACTAATCATTTCCTTCTTTGACAATTGGAAAATCTCTTTGACGAAATAGATGTATTAATTGCATGTCTAAAAACGTGACTTTTTTATTTCTATTTTTCTAACTTACTTAATAAAATGATTGCATTCCTTTCATATTTAATTAATATTAAATCTGACTATTTAATTATAGTAGACAGAGATGAGCACATCTCTGTAGTAGATGATTTCTTACGATAAATACGTGTATCAATTAGTATCTACCTGCTTTATAGGTACTTCTGGAAGATGGCAGCACTGGAGTGGCTAAGCACGCGGAAGCGGGAAGAAGTGAAGCCTTCACTTGGAAGGTAACAACACCGTGTCCAAGTACTTCGAGGAATAACAACAAATGGAAATTTATGCGAAGCGATTCAAGTGTTTCAGTGGCGTATAGAGTAATGGAGACTGCTGTTGACATTCAATTCATCGAGAGGAGAGTTCTTCGGCCAAGTAAATTATAATCGAATTATCCTTTCTGTATCAATTCTTTGACTGTAATCGCTAAGGGGGAAAGTAACAATGCCGGAGGGTATACGGTTTGAAAAAATCGGTTTAGTTTCCACTTTAATGGAAAAAGCATTAATGCTTGTTGATATGCAATACTGTTTTTGCCAAACTGAGTATTTCCTGATAAGAGATGACTAGAATTTGGTTTAATATCCATTCTCGACTAGTGTGATGCGAATTGTTTTCCTATGACTATCTCCTGGTGAAGCAGATTATGACACGAATCTATATGTTCAATTAACGTCATTTTGCCAAACGTTTTGCGGTGTAAAAATCATACAATTGATATGGACTAGATGGTCTAAATGGTGATTACAAATTCAAGTATTGTCCAAAATTAAAAATTCCAGGCATTACCCCCAGTTAAAACGATGCAAAGTAAATCAGTTGCTCCGATAATAATAATTTTTGATGTTACATAAAAGTTGATGTTAGATTTCGTTGATTTGAGAAAATTAATTAAATACAAGGTATAATGCCAAAAAATAGTTAACGACGTATCAGACCTGCCGATCGAATGCGATCCAATGACAAATCTTTTTATAACTATGAGAAAAAGAGAGACGGCACTTGAAGAAAAAGAAAGGGTACAACTTTATTGTCTATTAATTTAACGAAATCGATTTAATTTGCTGCAGGATAAATCGGTAAGATTTGCTTCCTGAGCTTTCTTGAATTTACCTTTACTGTTAATTATGATCGTGAATTTTAAAAGAATTTGAGAGATGGCGATGAATTTAGAGGTTAATAGTATTTTAAGATATTTAGGGTTTATACGATGACTGAATATCCGTTAAGTGTCTAAAAATTATGTTTTAAGATTACAGCAGTAATTAGTGAATTAGTGTGGTATAAAAAGAAAAAATAAATGTTAAAAGGAAAAAAAATTAGTAGAGAATGTATTATCCCTATATTAATTGAATATCTGTATATCCGACATGTACGTTTGTTTTTTTACCGAAAAAGGATAACGACCACTTGCCAAAAACGAACATTTGTAGGATATCTGCACAAAAAAGGTTGTAGATAAAATATTGTATTACATTAGGTATTGTAAGTAGTTTTACGTAAGCCTCGGAATTCGTTGTGAATTATTGAACCAAATGCAGTTTATTAGCATTTATAGAGTCTGCGGTTGAGACGTAAACAGTGACATATATTTTGTACAGTCGGATGAAAAGGAGGACACAGACCTGTCGGTAATACATTGAAAGACATTTTGGGTGTTACTCTAGAGAAATGGGGAAGACAGGAGGGGTCAGCGTGGGATATAGCCAATCATACGAATTGCCACATTTTCGTGTGCGGGATTTAGCTACTTTCTCCGTTTTTCCGCCATATAATGCCTAACGTCGAGTCACATCGATGCCATTGGAATTAAGTATTTTCTTTCGTGTACATATCAATATTTTTATGTACTGAACGTGTTACTACATTGTAACGATAGAAATAACGAAAAATTGGAAAATATGAATAGGGAAGAACGTATCACCAAAGCAACAAATAGACATTTTCGAGGTTGTAAGTATTACCGAAAAATCATTACATGGTAAGTTAAAAAATTCGTACTTTATCAGAGTCGAAATCTGAATTGAAACTTCAAACGTATTTTCGAAACCATGATTGCAATTTCTCGGGAACTACTTTAACGATTTGTATAACTTTCAGGGTTTATTCTAAATATAAAGCACTAGTTCTCGAACATACGAATTTATTTCCGTTCTTTTTGCCTATCAAAAAGAGCGATCTCTAGACAAACTAATATATTAAATAAATGTTTTTCAATGTTTCATTCCAGGTGATACAGTACCGAACATCTTTATTCAGAGAACCTTCAGGACATCGGCCACAACTCTATTTGTAGATAATCCTTAAAAAAAGCTCGAGATATTTTTTAAAACATACTTTTTTTTAACTCTTTGGGGACTAAGCCCTTTCGACATACGGGCGAAATTCATCATTCATTGCAAGCAATATTGGTCCAAACGTCGAACGCATTTATGCGTCGTTAGGAGGCAAAGGGCTAAATAACGAAACATTTTTTGTAAAAGGTCTCCGTCTCCTGACCGAGTCCGACTCCTTAAGACGTACAAACGGTCACTCGGAACAAGATTCAGCCGATACCTTCACGAAGTTTCGATCGTTAAGAGCCATTACAATCAATTATAGGAACGAGAACGTAAAAATCGTTCCATCGAACTCCGGGCTTCCCTCTACCCTGAACAAGGCGCCGTGATCGGTGTCCTAAGCGTTTGACGGTCGGGACGGGAGAGAGGAAGTTCGGAAAAAAAGGTTTAGTCCTAAACGCGCCCTTAGACGGCCGGTGGTTACGGAGCCCTTCTATCTCGGCAGTTCGGTACAGGGTACAGCGGTGTAAGGGGACCATTCCCCAAGGGAGGTGAGACCGGGAGATGGCAGAGAAGCGACCACGGTTGCTTCGTCGGTGCGAAGGCGGCAGGAAAGTCCACGGAGGGGGGCGCGTGGGAGGGTCGGCAAGGGGCGAGGGGTAGTGCAGTTTCGTGTTGGCATTACTCTTGATTTCCGTGGTGACGTCGCTACCATGCTACCTCGCTACCCCCGTGTCTTGTGTTCTGCCGTTTCTGCGATAGCCCCGGCGCATGCGCGAGCAACTACCGTCCACCGCGTATGTGTATTTATCTCCAATACATCCAACGGACGGACCATCCGAGAGATAGATACTTTCCGCTTTCTCCCACCGTCCTCCAAGCTGCATGGGAAAAAGATGGAAACCCCGTTACGTCATCCAAGACGTTTCCTCAACTTTAAGTTTAGAATCATTTCCGTACAACGATCTATTCTTGCGAACGTGGCCAGGAGGAGTCGAGTTTCCCCGAGGGGTTGCACGTCTACGCGTTATACATTTTTCAGAACCCAATCGGTAAAGGCGTTCGTGAATGAAAAACATTTTTGATCATTTCCATTCATCGGATAAACGACTACTGTATAGAACTTATATCGCAAATTGTTCGTATACTCGGATTATGTACAAATATGTGCCGAACTGGTATCTCGATCCGAAGTTTTTTTCTCTATCTTATGACGTTACACCTTTTCATTAGCATGAGACATTTAAATTGCAGAAAGCGATTGATTCCTCCCAGAAAGTAAATTTTGTTCCATTTTAACGAGGTCTCCATTCCGCGGCACCGTCGAGGCGGTTCAAACGTTTCGTCTGCCGGTGGGATTTCGGCTTGGAATAAGTAAAAAAAGATGAAACTGAAAAAACTAACGAGAAAATTGATCGAAAGATCGGAAGCAGGACAGTGGCGGCAATAGCGCACCGCGATTGCCCAGTAAATATCGGGTCGAGGTTATAGCCAGCTCTGCAGACCGTAAACCAAGACATTAAATTTT